ATCAAATGAATGAACTTCGCTTCTTCGTATTTTAGAATTTTGATTGTATCAGGTAATCTCGTGAGTTTGTGTCGAATTTTATAATTTGGATCAATTTGATTTAAAAAAAAAAAAAGAACGTAAGCGTCTCCTAATTTTACCAAGTTTTCGATTTTTTCTTTGGATTTTCGTGAAAATATTTTTCGCTTTCGACACGAACCTACCTCGTAAGTCGAATTTTATAATTTGGGTCATTTTGATAAAAAATTTGAGAAATCTGATTTAAAAGAAACGTGAGTGCATTCTAATTTTACAATCTTTTCTACTTTTTCCTCGGATTTTCGTGAAAATATTTTTCGCTTTCGACAGGAACTTACGGGATGACCTAGTGTAATAGAGAATTCGCGAGATGAAGAATTTATCGTTCGGCTGGAACTTTCGAATGGAGTACAGATACAATCTTGATCAAATATTGATAGAAGTGATTAAGCGTCGTTTCTGTTGTTTGCATACAACGATGAATTGTGTACACACAGTACTGGAAGTATTTATCGCATCGCTAGAATATTAATCCATCATAGACAATCTGGGTCTTCGACGACCCCAGATTCACTTCGAATCTTAATTTTTCTTCAATAAAATTTCGAACATTCGACTTAACTAACAATTGTACAATGTAGTAAAGACTTTGACAAGTACTCCAGAATTTTTTCAAGCCTTTTGATAGCTTCAAACGGCAAAAAAATCAGACCTGGAGACAAAACACTCAGTTTGCCTACGAAATGTGAAAAAATATATTTCTCACATATTGTTACTACTAAATCACTACCATCGCAAAACATTTTAAATACATTTTCTCGACATACATTTCCAACAAAAATTTTGCAAACACTGAAATATTTACCGTTGGCAAATTAGTACAAGATTGAACTTTCAATCATGAATCAACATATTCAGATAAGAAAATACATCACTATTCCGTCTCTGTTGATGCTACAATACAAAAACTAATCGTTCTCCAGAAAATGTCTACTCTTACAACTTTTACATACAGATATCGATAACAGATACGGTTATCGTCGATAAGCAATTGTATCGCGATGGAATTTTCGAAAAAGAGAAAATTTCTCTGGAACTTTCCGTCGATAGCGTAAACATACATACACAAGTGTAAGCGTACGTTCTAGCAAGAAGAACTGGACTGTTGAAAGGGGGAGATCCAGCGGAATCAAAGCGGTGTGGCGCGAGTACAGAGAGGTTGATTCGGCGAAATTTCATGCGATACGCAACGAATGTTGGTAAAAACTAAACAGGGGATCGGATACGTTTGTCGTTCCGAGAAACGGAACTCGATCGTTGTGGATCAGAGGGAAAAAGAAAAAGTAGTTTCAGATGGAGAAGAGAGGATGATCGTTTCAAGATGATTCGTTTCCCAAAAATCCCTTTTGTTGAGATGAACGACACCAGAATGAACAGGCCACTTGCGTTCGTCGAACCACGAAGGAAGTGAAACGTTAACGAGCAGTAGTCGTGGCAGAGATTAAGATTAATTGCTTGCAATGTCAAATCGAACCCAACGATGATCCACGGAAATACAAAAACGGATCGTTAATTGTTGTATAAATGGAGGAAGTTCTTTACGAGCGAATTAACTTGGAAATAACAGAGTGAAAGATTTTGCGTGGAAGAGAAATAGTAATTTTTTGTAAATTTTGTGTGAGAGAGAAATAGTCATTTTTTGTAAATTTTGTGCGAGAGAAATAGTAATTTTCTGTAAATTTTGTATGAGAGAAAAATAGTGTGTACTTGAGTATGTAATTTTTATTTTTCTGTTAACTGAATCTTTGTGTTTATTTCTGTATTTATGCGCAATGATGCGAAATTTGATTAAGTAAACAGTATTTACTTTGCCAATATGACTTTTTAATTCAGACTTGCCGGAATTAATAATACTGCAATTGATATGTTTATGAGTTCGTATTATATAAAAGGATTATCCTGAAGATAACATGGCCAATCAGTTTCAAGTACTTCAAACTTTGAAGGATTTAATTGTGTAATACTCTAGAAAATACGTAATAATTTCAGCTGCAAGGCACAGTTTTTTGTATAGAGCAACAAAGATAGTATTCTAAAGCAACATTCGATAAAATGATAACAGGCAATATCTGAATTGTTAATAAAGTAAATTTTGAAAGCATGTTCATTCATAAAATTACATAAACAGATACAACAATAATAGGCTATTAAGTTGGAATTTAACGTTAAATAAATATCTATACACGTGATCATTTTCTTTTCAAAACGAAACCTCGTATGTAAATTTCTGATCTGCATTCATCTGCAAGACAAAATGTTACTGTTTTATATTATAAGTCGATTGTTAAAATACTTTATATTTAGAAGAACGTTTCAGAAATAAAAAACAATTCACTTTAAGACTCGCTTCCAAAAGAATAAATATTTTTCGCATTTAACTAAAAATACTTTACCAAGAAATTCTCGATGACATTGGAAAATTCCTACAGCATTTTCAATCTTATCGATATTACTTTTTCGCACTGTTCCAACAATTACGGAAAAGCTCTCGTGGTAAACAAATAAATAAAATCTACGTAATATTAAATTCTACCGTGTCTTTTCAAATTATCGTAACAATTCTACACAATTTTCTTCGTTAATTGCTGTCTTTTAGACTTACTTCATCGCCGTTGAATTTCGTACATTCGTCAAAGAGAATTTCGAAACAATTTCTACTTTATGAAAGATTCGACTTTACGACATCTTCACTATAAACACGCGTGACTATTATGCCTCCGTCCTGGTCATGGAATGACAACAGACTGAATAAACACTCCCTGCTGTTAAACACAAATACGTTACGAATGATTCCAAGTTTATCATCCTCGTTCCACCAATAAGCCTAACTCACTGTTTCGAAATTATAGAAACATCCTTTGCAAATTCAATAATTACACAAATTACAGAATTTTCTTCTAGTCAGTGTTAAAATAAAACTATATTTTTCGTACACAATTAATTAAATTATAAATTTGACAAAGTAAATATTAAATATTTTTTGCTTATATCAACAAGTACCTATGTATCCTTAAATTATGACAAAGTTCACTGAATTTCCTACACAATTAATTAAATAACAAATTCGACAAACTTCGCTGCATTTCCTACACACTAAATTACCACCTTAAATCATTTTATCATAAACATATAAAATTTCTTTACCATTCAAAGGTCATCAATTTTCCTTTCTCACAAAATACCACTTACACCAGCGATTTTAATAATTTCCCCATAAAACAGCTACGCAAACTAACTTTCAAAACTTCCGCCGTCTATTTCCGTAACACACCTTTACGAAGCGTCGCGACGCCGGAGAACACCATGCACAACCGATCCACGATCGAATTTCCAAGGGAGGGAAATTCTTTGTTAGAAGAAGAGGGATACATTAAAGGTTAAACGATGCCGTTTACCGCTACAGAATGCAATTAGGTCAAATTACGTCAAAACGACACGGAATAGGGCGAGAGTGAAATTTAATTAAGAGAACCGTACCGGTTCCTCCACGTTCGACGCTCCAGCAACTTAGGGTGAGAGTAACGAATCAAGAGGGCGACCTAACCATCGGAATGTATGCTCGCGGACGAACGAGAGTGAAATCCCATCGATCGGATCAACTGGAAACCCAATTAGAGAGGAGTTAGACGCGAGCATGTGGACAAATTATCGAGAAAATCGTGGATAAACGACTCGGTTACGGGCCATTCTAAAATTTACCATTCCTCCTACGGTATATCGCAAAATAAAACGCCGGTGGAATGAAATCGAATGGATGGATGATCAGGAGAAGTGGGCGGAAGCGCGCTACGCATCTGTTCGTCGACTCTGGCCGCCATTATGAAAGCTTCTTCCGTCGGTATCGGTGACCTCGTTGTGTCTTACTCGCGTGTACCAAAGAAATGTATCGCGAAAACTAATTCTCAAATTGTCCAACAAAAATCTTGCGCATTTTTGTATCAACGAAATTGCGCACCTTGAATACCTACAAATGGTAAAAACGGAAATTTCGATGTTCCACAGTAACGCAGGAAATAAAAGCGGAAGATCGAGGCGTATACAACTATTCGGTGTCTTTCATAATCCGGTAATTATGTAAGAGAGTAGGTGCTTGTGCAACGCCTGCACGATTTTACGATCGACATTAGATATTACAGTCGGCGGTGGTTACCGTGTTCACAAGTCTCATGTTTATTGTTCTTCGCGCGCGAATATATCTTTGGTAGAGCGGTTTTGTTTCCCGTGCGTTATAAAACAGGTGTGTGTTAAATAAAACTGAAAATGGCATTGACATTATTTCCCATCGACCGACAAAAGAAGAAACTATCTAAACGCTTATTACAGTTGGAAGCCGTAGAAGAAGGTTCGAACCGTGATTCACGTTTGACTGTGCATGCCCGCGCGAAACCGTGTAAACAATATTGCTGAGGTCAAAGTCAACGACGATCGATGCGTAACACCGACGTCCAGTGTAAACAGAAGGAAAATGGGGATGTGGAAACGGTACAATTGTTACCGACAGAGCTAGGATTATACAGGTAACACGTGAAGATTAAGGTATTTGAAAAATATCAATGGAAAAAGAGAAAAAGAAACTCACCTAATACTGGAGGAACTTCGTTGTACTTCGTGGACAGTTCTGTCGTTGCCAGTATCCGTTCTGCTCTCGACAGTCACATTCAGCTCTTCCTTATGCTTCTCCTCCTTGGGAGGATGCAACGGAATGATGATATAGTCCGGTTCCTTTTTAGCGTGTTCCTCGGTCGTCACCTTCGCGCGATTCACTTGGCCGATCAGCGTATCACCCTTTTTCTGCACCTCCGAACGCGGCACTTTCGATCTACCACTGAACCGAAGTCTCGAGAATCTCTGTAGCGAGTCAACCAGCATGTTTCGTTGAAATCTAGCCGCCGTAGACGGCTCCTTTTTCGCTGCGGGCGACGCGACGAACACCCGTGATTTCGTCGTGGTCGTTGTGACCGACATGGTCGCGTGGCGGTCGTGCTCGTCGTCGTCTACCCTAACAGGCGCAGTTGTTACCGCCGCGTTCTCCTCGTGACGTTTGTCGCGATCACCGCGATGATTCGTATCAACTGCCACGGCCACCGCTGGATTCCCACTCCGTTCACCGAGTTCCAGGCCGTCGCTATTGCTGCTACCGCTGAGTGGTGGGGAAGGAACACCGTGGACAGTGTGTCCCCTCGCTGCTTCCGCTGCCTCCTCCTTTTCTTTTTCCTCTTTCTCTCTCTCCTCCTCCACCTCCTCCTCCTCCTTCGACTTCGTAACCTTCTCCACGGAAGCCTCCTCCTTCTCCGCGGCCTGCTTTTCCACTATGACCCTCCATAACAGTTCTCCGGCGTTCCTATTACCACTGTTGCACGATAACAGAGCCGACGACGAAGGACTTTCGTTTTTCCCGCCACTTCCTCCGTCGTCCTCCAGTTCGTCGTCGATCACGCGATCCTCCGTTTCACGGTGATCCGAAGATTGGTCCTCTTGGTACTGCAACCGTACGATATTCTCCGGATAGAAATCACTCATGTACGATTTCTTCGCTGCGTCTTCAATGGTGCCGGACAGAATTTTGCCCGACGATGTCGTGGTCTGATCTAATGCGTTTGAAGTGACGTTTTCGTGTACTGGGGATGATTCCTGAGGTTTCTGCGCGTTTGTTTCTTCGCGCGATACGCCCCCCTCCAGGCTGGAAGTTCCTATGGGTTTGGTTTCCAAGCAGGGATAATCTATCTCGTCGTCTACTAAGGCATGGGTACTACGATCGTCTCCATAGGCTGAAAATCGATCCGAGTTTTTTTTTATCAAGCTCAATAGCGTCTCGTCTTGTGGTTGTTTCTTCAGCCGTTGGTCTAGCTGGCTGATCGGAGTCCTGATGAACGGACCCTTCGAGAATTGCGTCGCAAGGTTCTCCATGGATTTCGAATACCTTTTTATATCCACGTACGGTTCGTTCTGGCAGAAGCTGCTGATATTCGACGTCGAGCTACTGCTCATTTGTTGCACTATGTCGCACACTCTGAGTCGCGAGGATCGCTCCGAAAGAGGCTCTACCAGCTCGTCGCACGCGTCCATCCTCTGGAAAGCGCCTCTGCAGGATTGCAGAGCTTTGATGTAATCGTACTGCTGGGCCAACTCGTAACTGGCGTTGTTCAACACTCGTTTACGTCCACCGGACGCGCTTTTCGGCGATTTCTCAGCGTCGTTGACGATCTCCTTGCGGAATCTACTCGAACGTAAGTTTCTCTCGTCGATCTCGAACTGCTGGGCGAGCTCGTAGCTCGCGTTGTTCTTCACTTTCCGCGTTCTCAGCTTCCCAGAAGGCGTTCTTTGTACACCGTCGACGGCGGATAATGTCGCGTTGTTCGAAGTAGCTTCCTCGACTTCGCGTTTGAACTGTTTAATAGCCTCGTCCACCATACTGTCTATGTCGTTCTCCATGGCGATCGCCATGTCGAGCATGCAGTTACCGCGATCCTGCGTCTTCACAGTCGACGTGACCTGTTTCTTCTCTCGCGGCTTCGTGCAGTGCTCTCCTACGCAATCCTCGCCCTCCTTCTGCCCCTCTTCCAGTTTCTCCCGGTCCATCTTACCGTCCACCATCGCGTTCTGCGAGGGTTGCGTTCTCACCGAGCTGGTCAAAGAGGTCTTCGTCTGTCTGTCGCTCTCGCCGCCGTTCTGTCGCTTCTCCTCCGCGATCTCCAACCGTTTCTTCTCCAGTACACCCGTGACTTCCGCCATTTCGTGATGATACTCGTGCAGGCTCAGTTGCGAGCGGCTCGTATCATCGTGCGTCACTTGGACACCGCAGAGATTCAAATCTACTGGCACGCTGGCTACCCTCGTGTAATTCTCGAACAGATTGGACGTGGACACGAACGAGGTGGTCCTCGACGAAGACGTGTACGCGAGCAACGAGCGTGGACCGTGTGTGGACTCGGTAATGCTGCTAGGCAGACTGGGCGTGCTTTGAGATTTATCCGTGAATCTAAAATTAAAGCACTCCTCCTTGCTCCACCCTTGACGCTGGTGCTGCCGCGCCAGCTCGTGCTCTTCGTATCCGTGGAGCTGCTGCTGCGGCTGATGATGGTGGTAATGATGATGATGATGATGATCGGCGACCATGTTGTTGCGACCGTGCGCCATAGTGCCGGCTATATTTAACCTGGTCTGCAGCAGACGAAACGAACTCGACACGGCCGCCTGGCCAGACTTCAGGTCCAACAACGTGTCCCTCTTCGACTCCACGCCGATTTCTCGCAGGTCAATCGTGTTCCGGTAGTCCAACGAGGTGGCATAGTTGCACGCGGAGTCACCGAATACCATCAATCTATCCTCGAGCTCTGTACTAGCCTGATGCTCGTTCGCCGTACGATCCTCTTGCTCGAGATCATCCTCGTCCTCCTCGTCTTCGTACTCTTCGTCGTCGTGCCAAAAATCTCTGATTTCGGGTGGAAAAAAAGAAAGAACAGGATTCGAGATATATGTACATGTACGAGATATATCTGAGAAAAAGTACGATTTAGTTTGGTGAAGCTGACATATACACGGTAAACATGACACAATAGACCGAATCAAGGTGAGAAGTCAGCGTGCGTAATTTCGGATGTTCCTCGAATTAAATGTAAAAGTCAAGGAGGTCTATTCAGGGTCGTGATTGCGGTAACTTTGGCCAGAAAACGAGGGTCATGTAGCAAGCTCTCGGTGTCTCTAAGAGTCGTTGCCAAGGAAATTCGAACACCTCTGTGTCCGACGAAAACGTCGTTTAACATTTCGCGAGCCTCTAGGGAAGAAAAAAGGCCCGCGATAATCCGCCGACTAAAACCGACGATTAAACACCGTCTGAAATAAACCAATTTACTCATTCCTCCTTGAGCCTCTACAAGGTAATGCACCGAGCGGTCGTGCCAAAAATCATAAAACGACAGCTGTGGCCGGTAGGTTCTAGTACATTTTAACAGTCGGACAGTTACCGCCAACGGTGAGAGAGAGAGAACAAGCGAGATACTGTGCAAGAGAAACGTCAGAAGACGACTAAACTAAATAAACAGATACACACTCGCGAATTACCTTGGACGATAATGGTGGCCGTTGCTTCTCGCTCTCGATAGCTGCTCCGTGTTTCGTTTCAGGTACAAAGGTGCGAATCCGTTAGTGAGGCCAACATGGCCCAACTCTTCCTCCTTCTGACAAGTGTCCAGGCTCTCGAAGCTACGATAAGGTCTGATCCTTGAGAAATGATCGACCGCGTTTCCGAAACCGTTCGGTAGAATTTTCTCGTAATCTTGCTCGAGGCTGTCCGGCGATGTGTTCTCCAGATGAGAGGCGTTCGATCGATTAGGATACTCCAACGAGTCGAAACTGTAGCTGGAAGGTGAGAGAGTGGCACAGGTCCTTTCCAACGATTCGAACTGCAGTAACGAGCTGGATCTCGAGGAGGCGGTTGATCTAGAAGACGTAGGAGATACCGGATAGTCGTCGAACGTCACCTGATGATCTCGATCGCTGGTACCATTGTGCTTGCGACGTCTCTTCTTCGGCACGACGGAATTGCAATCGCTTCCGCTGCCATCCAGCCTCTCGTCTTTTTCAGAAATCAGCAAGAAACACGAAACGGTGAACGGTTGGTAGCGAAAGGAAAAAGTGTGCGGGATATGCGTGCCTCTAAATCGTTTCGATAGATATTAGTTGAGTAAAAGCGAGACGATCGTCGACGATAACAATCGCCTGGCCTAAACCTACTTTCCGGGATTCGAGCGCGGTTATTTGCGTTGATTCTGCTGATAACGATGTATGTTTTCTTTTTTGAGAAAATACGAGGAGATTGACGAGTTTGTTTCTTACTGAGTTCCAAGTATCGTCGTTAGGGTGGTTATAGTTTTAAATGAGTACGTTTGGTTCGAAGCCTTGCGTAGTGGAGTATTTCTATGAAAAATTTGGCGAAAATTATGTTAATTAACTTTACATGGAAACTCGCAGGAGAATAGAAACACTTTCTCAAATCCAAATTGAACGTAAAATAGTAAAGAGATCGCTTAATCTGAACTTAATACTGCAAAACTCGTACATTCGATCAGACAAATTCGATATCTTTTCATTTTGCGCACGCGAGCCTCCAATATATTTGACCGTGTTTCTTGAAAACTTGCTTTACCCGGAGCATTCTTCTCCGAGATAAAAAAACAAAGTAATCGAATATCGTCGTAATTATTATTCTCCAATCGTTAAAGAAATCAATTCCAACAACTCAATCGAACGAATCAACGCAAAAAACGTTCAAGCACGCAAACGTCTGCTGTGTCTTGCGGTAATAAACGAAACAGACGAGCAAAAATTGAAGCGTTTGAAAAAAGAAAATATAACAGCATAAGTACGATAATAAACTTGCAGCCTTGTACACATTGCAAACAGCTAATTGCGCTTTCGCTCGAGCTATTATGCACGGATTTCCATCGTACACACGAAAGTTCGCAGTGTAATTACGTCTAATTGCGACTATATATTAACGATCACAAGAGAAGCAAAGAAAAAGAAGAAAGAAAGAACCAATGTAGCAAAATTGACATCGACGTGATCCATGCGATCAATTGCGCGCGAAAATTCTACTCCATTGATTAGCTGGATCTACTATATACACGCTTATCGGATCTTCTATCTCTCGGTCGATAAAAACAGAACTCTTGACCGACCGAGTCGACGTACACACACGCTGCTCACGCACACACTCTGCTGACGTGGACTAATTGATTTTCAGCGCGAAAACCGTGGGTGACCCACGTTCGTGAAAATGCAGCACGCAGTGAAACGTGTCGTCTGTTCGATTAACGACCCGTTATCGCGACTCGTGTCGTCGATCACGTGTCGGGCGACGCGACGGTCACGGAGTCGACAACCGGTGACCGCGTAAGCGTTGCTTCCGGTTGAACGAACCATGGCTTCCTGGCTGCGACACGGGACTCCCCCGGCGCGGCGGAGGAGACGCGTAAAAGAGGCGCGATCGCGCGACAATTGGACAGCCCCCTCACAGGGAAGACCCACTTTCGTGACTCGACTATAGAAACTCGGCCGTAAAAAAAACGGGGAATCCTCCAACGACTAACAATAAGTAAAGCTTCTTTTTAGTCGAGTTTCTAATGCTGCCGACAGGGAAAGTGTAATTTTCGTTTATCGTGTAATGTTGGAAGTTTATCGCGAATAATCAATGTACAGGGTGTCTTCTTTTTTAAGAGATATTTTGAATGTTTCAGTAGGAAGTGAAGCTTTCGAAAGTGTTCTTACAAAAGTTGTTTACTATGACGAGGGACATCGCGTGTTACAGTTTTTCCGTTACAACGTTATCGTGAACAATCAACACACAGGGTGTCTTTTTTTAACGAGATACAGTGGAATATTTTGGTGGAAAGTGAAGCTATCGAAAAAGTGCTCTTACAAAAGTTGTTTAGTATGACGAGGGACATCGTGTGGTACAGTCTTTTTTCTGTTACGACGTTATCGTGAAAAATCAATGCACAGGGTGTCTTTTTTTTTAACGAGATATTTCGAATATTTCAGCGGAAAGTGAAGCTATCGAAAAAATGTTCCTGCAAAAGTTGTTTGATATGATAAGAGACGTACTACAGTGGCAGAGATATCAAGATCATTTTTTTTTTTTAATGGAACGCTATATTTGTCTAATTAACGATTATCGCTAATAGTGATCAGTATCAATATGTACAAATGTTACGAAAAACGTAAGAAAAGAAACTGTAAGTTCTTTCTAGCCACTCTATACATACACCTAATCGAATCTATCAGGTGACTCTAAATTCCTCGCAGGTCGAACAGTAGTAATTGAATTTACTCCACGCCACATTGTTCTATCTTTTTATCGTTGCATGATCACATGCACGCGGAATTCAACGGCTAGTTCATAGTAATCCTATATGAATCACGTTAAAGGTGATCTAATATTAGATGCAACGGAAGAGAATCGTACGTGGAATCGTAGACACAATCAGACGATCTGAACACCGAGCACGAGAAAATCCAATCCTTATAATAAGCACAGAATAAACATCTAGCGTATGATATTACTCACATTTAATACTGACACATAAATAACACATTTACACCACTTAATTACTCGTTTAGCACAAGAATTCCCCATTATCTTAATGAGAGAAAAAGAAGAAAGAGAAGAAAGACAGTGAAAGGAACGATCAGCAACTAAAACGAAAATCCTACAAAGTCTAATATCAAACACCACATTCTTCTAATCGTCTCCTGATCTTCCACATTTCAAATTAAAGCGAAACACGATCGATCAGATTGCTCCCTTTTAAGAGAATAATCCAACGTTTAATATATCCAGTGAAACTACAGAACGCAATTAAGAAGCGTGCGCTGAACCAGTATTCGCAACGAATCTTCCAACGAACTCCTCTAACGACTTTTAAATAAAACACTTAGCGGTACTCGTGCGAAAAGGATAGCAGTAAAAACTGTTGTAAACAGTAATGATTAATCGTCTAGGATCCAATTACCGTCTAATTACCGTAACGAATGATTTAATTCCAGTTCGAAGTAAAAGTACACGTGGGTATCGAAGTTGCAACAGTTATTTCTCCGTCTTTCCTATTTTCCGATCAAACGCGTGCAGTTCCCTTGCTTCAAAATGGACAATCTGTAAAGAAGAATTCGTCGTACACGATTCTCAGCAGAAATGAAGAATCATTTCAAGCTTAACGAACGCGACGACCACGGTGCAAAAAAAGGAAGTGTACATAGATAAAATGCAGTCAGGCCGCCTGAGGAATGGCAACCGGGCATACCTGTGCGTTGCAGCGGTCGCATGCTCCACGGAATCTGGTACGTGAGTTATTGCGGATGGAGTATGGAGAGTCTATCTATAGGGACACGTCCTTTATTTGGCGTATGTAATGATAAGGGGTTAATTGAGTTTGTCGAGAGCTCTTTTCGAGGTTAATTTGAATAATTTGGAATTGAGGAGCTTTTTCGAGGGGAGATTTATAGGTCTATGGGTCCATTTTTTGCCAAATCCCTGATTAATTGACTGTAGTTTACTTTGGAATCTTTTCTTTCAAATTTCGTTTCAATCTTTAGTTCTCAATTTTTCTTGAATAGTTGATTTCTAAGTTACACTAAAACTTACAATGTAACTTAGTTAGTACACTATTTTGTCCTGTGGGCACTTTCTTAGAGAACTCCTCGACTGTGTTCTACATTTGGAAATTAAAAGAAGAATGTACCGATGGACGTGAATTTCTGACACTAGAGACACTTCGACCGGGTCAAAATTGACCCGTTAGTAATTTTCCAAAATGAGTGAATATTTGAAATTGGTAAAATATCATTTGCAACTTTCTGACTTTGTTTTCTGCGTGTATACTTCACTAAGAATTACTTTCTGAATAATTCGTTTATGCTTAATTGAAAAAAGAAATCTGAAAAGTTTTAAAAACACAAATGAAGAAATCTTAGTGACATGAATAACGAATAACAGAAAAGTGTCCAAGTATGACGAATGGTCGAAGGTTTTGTTGAAGTATCGACAAGTTTTCTAATCACATATCATCAGAAATAAACGTGTTACCATAATTATACACTTCTGTTACCTTTTTCCTCTTCTTTTCAATTTTTCTTTGCAAATGCATTTATGCTTCTACTTTAAATAGCTCAATTATCTCATACTTAATTACTGTCATTCATACTACTCGTTACATTACCGACGACACATTCTCCTATGATAACAATTACATCATTAGATCCATACCGAAGTGTAGACATAATACTGTCACATTATATCGTACCGTATTACGAATAAACTCTAGAAGAATGCTTCCATTTGGAAGTATCATCCTTGACTAGAATTCCGTTTGAATTTTTTGCAATTCGAGAGAACTGATAATTTGCAACGAGTGTATCGAACATTGTGAAAATGATTCTAAACAAAACTGTTAAGTTTCAATGGAATTGAAAGAGCTTAAAAGAGCGGGAACTTTCAAAATGACAATTTCAGTGGAATTAAAAGAGCGGGAACTTTCAAACTGACAATAAAAGACACAGCAAATAAGTGTATCTTCAATTATTACACGATCGAAAACAGAAACTGATTTTCACTTAATCATCAAACCTCTAATATCGATTTTTTTTAATAAAACAATATTTTATATATTAAAAGAAATATTCGAATTCTCCTTATTTTCATTTATATTTTTAAAATCACATTCTCCATCGATCAGGAAATTGAAACAATCTACCAAGAAAAGAAGCACAGAAAGAAAGGCAACTGTTCCTCTTCTGACAAGAACAAGGAACTCCATGCATAATATAATTTCAAATGATAACGAATATCTGTACGTACAATGACTCATTTCACAAGAAACATGTGCACATTATGATAAATGCTCGGTATTATACAAGACGAAACAGGTTATGGGATGTATGTAAGTTGCTTTTGAATGAATTACAAACGGTACGGTTTCATTCTTTAAAGAGAGTCAATGAATCGGTGGATTAAGCTGAAAAGAGAAAGTGGACCACAGGTGAACAATGTTCAACAGGCTCGAGGTACCGTGTGATGATGCTAGAGAGAGATTTCACAAGACGCATTCTGAAACGACATTACCGTTTACTTGTCTTTAATGTCATACATCTGTGAAACGTTTCAATGGAACGCTGAAACTGAGGAAACGTCGAAGAAAAAACGTATTTTTTTATTCGCATGTTGAAGAACGTGGCTCGAGTAATATGTAAAGCGAATGAAGAGTAAATAGAGAAGTTCGTTCAGTTTTAAATTAACAGTGTGTTACAATCAGAGTATATTTAATACGAAAATTTGCAAATTGTAGCTTTGAAATTTTAATGTGTAAATATAAATGATTAATGTTTTCCTTTTAATTTTTACAGTGTAGAAGTAATTACTTCTTTTGTAATTTGTAATATATTGCATTACTAAAAAATAGTAAGTTTGTCTTACATAATAATATAAAATTTATTTCGCTACCGAAACTTCGAAAATGCAAAATTTCATATTCATGACTGAAAAAGTGTCATTTTTGTCTCGAATTAATTTTTGCTTTACTAGAATATACTCTGTTAACGAAGCCATTGATCGAAAAAATCACAAGTTTCTCTTGCATACTAATATAAAATTAAATTAGCTACCGAAACTTCGAAAATGCAAAATTTCATATTCATGACTGAAAAAGTGTCATTTTTGTCTCGAATTAATTTTTGCTTTACTAGAATATACTCTGTTAACGAAGCCATTGATCGAAAAAATCACAAGTTTCTCTTGCATACTAATATAAAATTAATTTCGCTACCGAAACTTCGAAAATGCAAAATTTCATATTCATGAATGAAAAAGTGTAATTTCTTTCTTCTAGAATAATAATCGAATAAACGTTTGCCCCGCTAGAATCTATTCTGCTAACAAAACTTGCTCGCAAGTGCAAAATTGTTTTACACTCATTAGCGAATAACAAAACGCGTGGCACATGTCCAAACTGGCTGGCAAATTGACATTCGGTAGACTATAGTCCAAGACCTCTGGGATATTTTTAGACGTATTGTTCGACCATTCGTGGTACGCAACGATCAAGGGGGATATATTAAATTTAATACGACATGAAGTCTCTGATTCTTACCCAGTGATCTCTGCTTCGCCCGTATGTGTATTACGCTTTCGGTTTCAGAGTCCGAGCCGACCCAGTAAGTGGTTCCACTTCGATCGGAATCACTTTGCAGATCGTCCGATGTCTCTTCTAAAATTGTCTCTAGAAAATCCACTTGCTGCACTAACACCGTGTCTGTAAATCAGAGGGAAAAACACTTTAAAAATATTACGATTGTAATTAAAAATTTGCAACTCCTAGAAATTTGGGTTGCACAAATCTTGAAATCAGACATGATTTTTGGGCTACTCTGAGGAAAAAATTACCCTTTTTTAACCAAATTTTGATCATTTTTCCCTTTAAATACCGCAAACAATTATATGTAAATTTCAGATTTAAGGGATTTTAATTTTAAGGTGCT